TGAACTTCACTATTAACAAGAGGAGAATTTAGAGCTTAGCAATTGACCGGTATTATTTCCTTTCGCTCTTCCTTGATTAGATCATTTGACAAATAGGTCTTTCACATTTCTTCATTTCCCTTTGTTCCTCCACTATCCGATTTTATGCCAATACCTATATTTTGTTCTGGAAAATCTGTATTTGGTAAAGCCGGAGCTCCCTCGTGCATTACAACTTCTGGCTCTAAGGGTAAGGACTGAACTGCTCTTTGTTGAAGCATTCTAAACTTGTGATTCTAATATATAATGGACAATTTTCCTTATGACGTGGATTTTAGTAGGTCGCCAAAATGAATTTGAACCGTCACGATGATCTTATGTCGTAATTTTCCGTGTAGTGAAAGTAAATACGACTAACGACTCAGGCACGTGCGTGACGTTGCATTAATTATAACGGCATAGACTGCAGGTACGCGAAGGAAAATCGGACCTGCAGCGAGGTTAGAGGAGATAAGGAGCTGGTTTTCGAGGCAAAACAAACTTTATTTGGACGCCATGGTTAAGATGTCGCTTCACGATAAACCGGATCTGTTCGTGACAATGACTTGCGATCCGCATTGCATCGTCCTGAATTGGTGTGATTCACACTGGTCCAAGTCAAGGACGATGTGGTCGATGGGCAGTTGTTTGCTATTCAGGTAGTTCCAGAAGGGTGGGTTGCCGCATGCGCACATACTAGTTACGTTCGAGCCGCAGGATAGGATCGACGACACGGATGAGGTGTATCGGATTATATCGGCATCCCTACCTGATCCCGTCGTTGAACCCGAACTGTATGGTGTCGTACGCAATTTTAATGTGTATCGTGTGTGCGACAACGTAAATCAAAACGCTCCCTGCACCACCACAATTAAGCTTCATTCGTTTCGATGGCTACCTGCCAATGGGCGGCTCGTCGTGGTCGAAAGTTATCGTTATGATAATCGGTGCATGGTTCGTTATTATTAGAATGTGCGGAGAACTCGAAAAACTACGAAGCTTATCGCCTATTTTCGTCTTAACATCGTTAACGCGGAACACCGAAATTTCGGAGCATGACGTTTGGTTTCGTCGCGAAGGGGAGTGGTATCCGCGAAAGAAAGCAATTAAAATTTTGGGTACGTCCTGCCGGAAGTTTCTCCGCAGGACAAAGAAAGAATTTTATTGAAGCATTTGCGTGGCGCCACCTCTTTAGCGTTGATCCGAGCGTTAGATGACGGCCGTGTAGAAGACACGTATCGTGAAGCATACGATGGCTGTTATTTGCTTCAGAATTTCGATACCTATCGGAATGCCTTGAGGGAGGTGTGGCAGTGTGGTAATTTTTTCGCTATGCTTATTTTGTCTTCTGTCAGCCGATCGTCATCGGAACAGCATGGTTGAATAAGTGTATACTGCTCGCGGATCACGGATGGGCGGACGCTGGACGAGATAAGGATTTGGACGACGCGGTCACGGGAGAAGAAACTTTGATTGAGTGGAACGACGAGGGAAAAGGGGGCCAGTGAGAATGATGATGTGGTCGCCGCTTGGGGTGATGGGGTGAGCGAATTGAATTCGGGTTGCGGGATTCACTTATGCAAGGTCAAATTTGGCGCAAAGTCAAAGTTTGCACTTTTGGTGAGAATTTGTGCGTCAACCTTGCGACGACGATGGGTCGTCGGGGAGATGGTGATGGGGAGGGTAATTCTTTGTCCCACCAATTTAGCGGTCGATGAGATTAGTACGTTAATTCTCGACTGCAAAATCATCTGTCAGCGAAAACTTATTTCTCCGTAGATTAGTGTACGGGTACTGCGACAGCGTAGAATAATAAAAGTTATGTTCCAATGCACGTAGTTGATTAGGTGTTAGCATCTAACCTCCCTTCCCAAGAGAATTTGGCTGTGCGGCGTGGCAATGCAAGGAGACGTGAATGATGATCGCAAGTATTTGCGAGGAAATTTTGAAACTGAAAGTGTTGTCTAGGTCTCCAAAGAGCCGGATATACCGAAGATACTGTCCTCAACTTCCCCTACCATTACGTTTGGAATTTCCTGTGTGTTTGGTGTTTGCCACGACTATCAATAAAAGTCAGCGGCAAACTTACGAGAGGGTCGAGATTGTCGCTCGACGGCCTGACTCGGGGGCTTTTAAGTCGTTCAAGTGTTTTGCGAACCTTTGATACCGCCGCCATTATCTGAACCAACGTTCCACGGGTTGAACCCGATATCCATAGCGACAGCGATTAAGTTAAAGTTAGGTAGTCAATAACTAGAAAGTTAAGTACTAAAAATGAAAAAGTTTTTTGTGAGTTTTAATAAATATAAAAGTTTTATCTTGTTTTATTTAAGCGCTTTTGATTATTTTTCACGGTTCAATTCTAACTTTATGGGAGAGATCTCATGGGCTGGCAGTGAAAGAGAGGCTAATTTTGACTATGAATAAGTTAAAATTATATCTTAGTTGCATTACTGTAGCTATCTTGTTTCATAAATCTGAAATCTGAAATCACAGTTGAAAAACACATTTGTTTATATCGTCAAATAAATTTCAATTTGCAATATAAACAAAACATAACTGTTAAATTCGTAATTGTGGTTGCTCCAAAAGGTCTTATAACTTTCGTAAGTGCTGTTTGTGGGGCCCAAGCATTGGATAAAATAATTTTTGGACAAAGTAATGGCATTAATAAACTGAATTCAAATAGAGATGCCATTATGGCGGATAAGGGAATTTTGATATATGATATCTGTACAATTTATACAATGAACTTGATTAGATCACCTTTTCTGAAAAATAATAAGCAATTATCGGCAATTATTGTGAATCAGTAGATAGCTTTAGCTAAAGTTTGTATTGAGTCAAAGACTAAAGGTGTTTAAAAAATTTTTATGGAGAATTACAATGGTCCCTGGTTCCCAAAATAGATGTGATATTTACCATAATTTGGGGTGTAATAAATCTTTCTGCATCAATCATGTCTGATGAAAGATCTTAATTTAAATTATAAACATTTCTCATATACTTAAAAAAAGCAGATTTCCAAATTGAAAGTTATACAATTGTTTATGTAGGTACCTGATTGTTGTGTTGCTATTGTTTACAAAGCAATCATTCCATTAGGAATTACACCCAGATAAATTATGTATTATGTTAGAAAAATAGTTTTTAACATGGTAATAGAGAAATCATAAACACAATAACAGGACTCTCGTCAAATGATGAATATAACACTAAATAACATATATTTCTGTTTTAGTTGTATTTTGTATTTTTGTATTTGTATTTTTTCTTCAAAATAAAATAATAAAGAGTAAAAGTCAATATGTAAGATATAAGCATATGAACACTTAATTTCCAATAACGCAGTTGCGATATTGAAATTCAGTGATGGCATTTTTTGCAATGATGATTCCCTGGCATTGCTTTCCTAATTCAAGCTATGCCAAGTAAATTTATTTGAGAAAATTTTTGGCCAAATATTGAGAACCAATAATTAAAAATTTTCTAGCATTATGTCATTCCAGAGATCTTTGTATTGCTTTAAAGTCTTCTTCACTCCCATCATTGAGATCGATTGTATCGCATTATTCTAGATTAAAAGTAAAATTTGCATCACCAACTGATATATTTTTCATAAATTGAATGTCTGTATTACGTCCTTTTCTAAAAAAAAAAATATTATTAATTGCATTACTTTGTTTCGCTATTGCTGAGTCAGGCAACTTTGACGCAAAATACTAGAGAACCAGATCAGGAAATATTGGAAATCTGTTTTCGCCACATTTATGGGATACTTCATTTTCATGCTGAACCATCTTCTATTCCTCTTCAATTGAGTGCTTTATTTTTAACTCTGCTGAACTATGATTACCATGTCCTCCGGCTCCAGCTTTACATTTTTAAAATCACAACTGAGTGGTTTGTAGGTCTCAACTCTGCAGAAATTTCATGAGGGCTTCCATTGCAATTGCTTGCAAAGTGCACAAACTCTTATGAAGTGAGGTTGACCTTCAGTTTTGCCAAACATAATAACATATCCTGCATTCAATACTTCTCCTTTCACAACACATCTTGAATTTACCTTTCCACCAATTATCCCATATTCTATTAAGCTTAATCCTACTTTTGCCATATTGAAATACATAAAAATATCTTTACTGCTTTTTAACTAGACAAAAAGGACGCCGAAAACATAAAAAGTTAAAACCACAAAACAATAAACGAAATAAAAGTACTCCCTTACTTCTATTGGCTAAGATTACTGGGATCACTCGGCCACTTACAAAAATAATCCGATACTTTGTTTATAGCCCTGTAGGGTGCCTTAATTAAAAGGGACCGGACGGATCCATCACCCTCCGAAGGGAACGGAAACAACAATTAAACGTTATTCAAAAATCTTTGACCGATCACAAAAAACGCCCCACACTCCCCCTAACACGCGGATCAACCGGCCACTATACCGGTGTGGACAGGAAAAAACAGCGAGGCCGATAACGAATAAATACTTTAGAACGTTGATTAGACACTTAGAACACTTAATCCACACAATGGAACCAATTTCTAGTATTTTGGGGGTGATTACAACGGATTCTGTCGAGAGCGGACGAAGGTTAAACCGCAATGTGCAATGCTCACGTCAGAATCAAAAGTAAGGTTAATTCGATGTATTAGAAGTCCTGTTCGGCCGCTTAAATTTTACCGGTGCGGCCTATTCAAGATTATAATAATTAATAAAATTCATCAGGGACACTCGCTCAAACTAAACTCCCTAAATCTGCGTTGTTTTGTTGCAGATGTTTCATGCAGTTGTTTTGGAGTACCTTTAGTGGAAGACGCTAATATGTGGATTGGTATCACTTTATAACGGTGGAAAATTCGTAAGTTCGGTTATGGTCTAATGAGTCGTGGTTAAGTTGCCGCAGGGTCAAATCTTTCATTCTTTAATCAGTCAGTTTAACTAAGGTGGTGTTGGTTTTTACAGGGGGATTAGAGGTGTGGTTTTATCTTGGAGTTGGAGCGGCTTGTGTAAAAGGCACGTGGAAGTTTTTCTCAGAACCCTTCTTACATAGTGGGTTGGTCTGCCCCCCAGAAGCTAAAATTAAGTTCATGCTTGACAGTTAAATACTAGGTTAGTGTTATGAATGTTTTCTTTCTTTGTATTATTATTATTTTTTTTTATTATAAATTGTGCTTGTCGCAAAGGACATCTAATCGGACAGAAGCATCTTCTGCTACTTCTGATAAGACTCGTGCTGAAGCAGTATTTGACGGTAGTGGGAACGCCAGATCAATTATGCCATCACCGTGAAGTGTTGCGATTGCGGATTGCTAGAGTGAATGGCTTGGCAGGCTTCGACTCCAAATTTGAGAGCAGCAGATCCAAGGTTTGATATTTATTTTATTTTTGCATCTTATTTAGCCAAGAGCTAAGTTATACGGTAGCACTGATTTTTGTATATCCCTATACAGGAAAAATGTTTATGTTTATGTAAAGGCTTTTCATACCTAATAATTTATAACTTTAAGCTCTTAACTCTTGCCATTATATTATATGATATAAGCAATTTCATAGCGCAAATCATATTGCAAGAGTTGGTCAATATATTTTTACCCTCTCCATAGTTTTGTTAACAAAAAAAATCCAAGGTGTTTGAGTTTTAACTTTAACACAAGAGACTCGAGATACTTAAAAAAATAGTCGTGAGAGTACCCTGTTACTTCCAAAGTTGAGGATATATCCAAATATGGGGTGAGCCAAATTTCACATTACAACAAATTTCCACTGAACTGTCTAGGGTGATCCATTTTAAATGTCCACCACCCTAGCTTTTTTACCTTCAGTTTGTAGGAAACTAATGACTCTCATATTAGCCCATAGGGACAGCGAAGTTTAGATCCAATGTACAGGGTGAGTCAGCAATAGAGTGTGGTTAATTATGTCATTGGTTTCAAAAGTTTCAAAGGTTCAACTTTTTTATTAATAATAATACATACCAAAATCTAATAGTTTTTCCAATATTTTAATTTTTCTAAAAAAATAATAGTTTTCAAACTTGCAAAGAATTACGAGAGCTAAATTAGCATTATTTGAAGATGACATAAAAGATATATAAAATTGAATTTGAATTAGATGCAACATATATTTTCTAAAAGATCTTACAAAAACCTACCACTTTTATTAGGTATGTCACGTACCTATTTTTAATAATTTGTGATTTATTTCAACCTTTGCAATATTTACCCTTCTTTCTGTCTAAGGGTTCAGTTAAGATTAAAAAATTAAAAGGAGAAAGAACTTTGTTGTAGCCGTCGATAAAATATTTACTTTTAAATAATGGCCACATTATAAATTTACTAAAAAAATAAATAAATAATATATATATATATATATATATATATATATATATATATATATATATATATATATATATATATATATATATATATATACATTTATATATATATATATATATATATATATATATATATATATATATATATATATATATATATATATATATATATATATATATATATATATATATATATATATATATATATATATGGGATGGAGTTTTAAAAACGACTGTCATATACGTTCTGAGTTTATAACCACCAATTGACCCACAGTATACTTAATCGGAAGCTGGCTTTTTTGTTAAATCTATTCTTCTGCTCTTCTTGTCTAGACTGTGTCTTGATCACTCTTCAACGCAGGTCAGTTCAATTGTTCCGCCGGTCATTGCCTGCCACTGTTCACTGGAGGGTTCACTATAGTATCAAAAGAAAATTGTATATATGGGTGTCCCAAGTTGTTTCTTCTCGAGCATTTACACCGCACTTCAACGATCAAAGGACAGCTAGATTGTAGCGTTCGCACTGCTCATTTTCTTGGGGTATTGCCAAAGCATTTTGCTGCTACTTAATAACGAGTTTCCAGTTACTACATCACTAATGCCGAGTCAACATGTAATTTAAATGCCGCCATTTCTTACTTTCCGGTAAACAATTTTAATAGGTGTGCCTTTGTCAGTTGGACCAAGAAATTTTTTATTATTGAGAAACACTTTTTATACCCAAACTATATCTTCTGTCCAAGATAATTTATTTGTTTCATTTTCTATCGAAAATTTTTCTCAACGTCGTTACTTCTTTTACAAATACCACAATGCTTTTTTCAATTTTGTCTCTGGTCAAATTTTTTGTTTATTACATCCATAACAAGTCATTTTTACCCTTTGTCTTTGTCTCATTTTTGGTAAAAGTGTAGCTTAAAGTCCAACTTAAGGATATGACACTGTGAGTGTTCGAAATGGTCACCATTAACACCTACACACAAACGATGCCGCCGAACTGCAAGCAACAACTGACTGCTCGAAGTTCATTCAATGTGGTGAGCGAGTGAAATTTTTGACACAAGATGTGAGTTATACGGACTTGCTACTGTTCTAGGTCGTCCAGATCGTTGTTTGTGTACATCTTTAACACAGCTTTCGGCTTCAAATTTGTCTCCAATGCGACGAATCGTTAAACCTGTCAGTGGCTCTGACTTTCTTTCATCGTATGTAATCCTTACGAAAGCAATGTTAACTTGAGTAGTAAGTTACAACTAACAATAAATCTATCTGGTGACTGTTATCTGACAAAAGAAAAAACGCGATTGTCGGAACTACAATCTATTATACTACCAACAATAAGACAACTCCGTCAATTAGTTTGCAAGTTTTGGATTTTTAAACAGTGAATACATTTTTTTGGACTTCTCTGTATATACCTTATACACTATGTCACTAATTTGCTTTATTACGTATCTAATTTTAAATTTAATCATCTTATTTCTGATTTTAAATGTCCCAAAAGGTAAAAATCCAGTGGAGTAATTAATATCTGGGGATCTTGCAGGCCAATCTATGGATCCCCTTCGACCAAATCTGTTTATATGGCAAATCAGGCTGATTTGGATTTGGGAAAGAAACTGCCAGAGTCGGAAGTAAGTCCCTTTGACGGGATTAGGATCAAAGAAATAAGGTAAAATAATTATGTTATTCGATATTCCTACCCAAACATATATTTTTTTTGTCATCCATTCGGGATTATTTGTATTCCATTATCTACAATTTTGTTTATTTACTGTACAACAGTAGCTGACAATGACTGATAATACTTTTCTTCTTTTAAAAAACGCCAAGCTGTTGGCTATTGGCAGGTTGGCTTACATCATCGATCGACGATCTTTTACATACCCTGTTTCTATAAATTTTCTCTCAATTTCTCTCTCAACCAATATGCAACTTCTTCTTGAGTTCTCGTTTTATTTAGATGCGCGACAATTTTTTTTACTTGCATTTCAAAATTCAGTATTAAATTTCTGCTTTTTATTCTTTTGCTCATAATAAGCAAGAGGATAAGCATAAGTGGTGTGCCATTTAAAAGGGGAACTTGGTATTCGCATCTACTTTTTGAACCATCTTGTTTATTTGTTATAAAATGAATTTGTTTCATATTTTACCTTCTCAGTGCATTTTAAATTTTTTCTATTCAATTACAGTAATAAAAAAACTTGAAATTATATATGAATATTGTATTTTTTTTACATTTATTTAAAAATTATTTTATTAACAAACGGATGTTAAATTTATATGATTAAAAATAAGAAGAATGGTTTGTTGTAACATTTTAATTAATAACCAAATACATTCGATTATAATTAATTTAATTGCTGCTATATTAAATCGTTTGTTTTTTCTTAATGTATTTTTTTTTAATTTATACAATTGGAAAATATAAAACATTGATTTGAATGGTATTGTTAATTTCGTTGTATTAGGTGATGGATGGTTCAAAAATACGTCCGAAATTATTCGGCTTTTACATTGTCAATGTTTATCGTTTGTAATAGTATATTTTGTAACAAGTGTGGTAAACGGCATTTGAGTCACGAGTTTGTTTGGTGGGTATAATATCCGAAAACATCCGATTGCTCCCAAACCTTTGCGGTGATATCCAGGAAATGTCCGAAGTGGCTCGGATCTGTGGGAAATAAGACTGACGACGCTGTAAAATGACACTCTCCGCAGGCTAGATCGTTGTATAATTAGGTATTTTACTGAAGGGAGTAGAAAAAACATTTGCTAATATTATTTCTCTTTTACATTTTTTTATCCTTAATTTTAAGTTTTTAAAACTTGAAGTTTTGATACAAAATATGTCATTTATTTTTTTGTTGACGGGGACAATTAATAACGTAAGAACTTTCATAAATATTGTCGTTTTTGTACCTTTGTGTTTTGCTTTTAATATTTAAAATATGCAAAATTTTTAAGTCTTTACGAATTTTTTCCAGACTTCCTCCTTCCAGACAGGCAGACAGACTTCCAGACAGGCTTTCATAGTAAATTATAATTTTTTTAATTTTGTATATTTTTTATAGAAGCGAATCGTTATAATTATGCCTGTTAATAATCAGTCATATAACTAGAAATCGGTTGGCGTTATATTTTTTAGATTAGCGGGAAATAATTGTTGTTATAGTCCGTTTAAAATAGAAGCTGTTACAAGTTGCAGGCTTCAAAACTAACATAACTGGGTGAAGGCGTGGTGGCGTCCGAATCATTCTACAGAGTGTATCGAACCCGTCTGTAGTCGAACAACGACCCAAAAACTCTACAAAAAATACTAGCCGTTGCCGTTTCTTTTCTTAAGCTTCTTTTAAGAAAAGTGAACTTTACAATATGTAGAATATAATTTTTACAAACTCAATAATTGTTTGCCCGTGGTCCAATGTTGCTGCGCTATAATCATATCCGTAGTTTCAAATTCTTGGGTGTGCTCTCGGTTGAAATATTGGTCGCTCCTCCATGATGTTTGAAAGGTGTCGTTTTTCATTTTTTTAACGACGCGGGCTACATCTGACCTGATTTCTTTCGCAGTGTTTGGTGTCACTGTCACCACGCAGTTTTAGATGCTACTGCGAAATTGAAACCCTTGTGCAGAACAGATGTTTCAGACTGGGACATGTTGTGTCTCGAAGGTAGACAGATTGAGCTCCAATAGGATTATCACTTTCACCAGAGATAGGAAACCTGTTTATGGCGTACTTCGTAGCGGAAGACGACTCAAGCCGAACCTTTGGATCTGATACGTCGACGACATTTTCATCATATGCTATTACGAGGAGGCTGAACTAGATCATTTTCTAACTTAATTGAATTCCTTACATGAAAGAACCGAGTTTACCGTAATAAGGGAAACGGACAAAAAACTAGCATTTCTGGAACTTCTTCTGACGCGAACAGACTGCGAGAAATTACAACACCAAGTATATCGCAAACCTACCCACATCAACAGGTACCTTAACGCGCAGTCACACCACCACCCGAGTCAAATCCAGCCGTTGCCAATATCCTGCTCACACAAACATTCCAAGACAATAACTGTAGTTCCACGATAAGAAATGCCAAGTATATGAATAAAAGGAAAGGGCGAAACTCAACTGAGGTTGATGCCTAAAAATATCAGTCAAAATGTGATATACATTCTTCTGCACTTGTTTTGCCGGAATTTTATCAATTTGTCTGAACTGGTGTCAGCATAACGAAAAATGCATTTTATTCCAGCGTTATGACGCATTTTTTTAAAATGCCTAGACAGTTTATAAAAAGCCTGTGACACACATATGTCAAATTTTTATAAAACACTCTCGTATATCAACGAACATTGCAGTTATTTTGTTTATTTTGTCAATATAAAAACTCTAAGTATGCCGCCAGTGATCTATTTGTCGAGGGCAATATACAAAATATATTCGTCACTTTTCTGCTGAAGAAAAATGAGAAACTGCTTCTTGTAATCCTCCCATCTTTCGCCCTCTCTTCGTGGTTCACCAAACCGCTTGAATTGCTTTGGTATGCCAAAAGTGGTGGTGGTGTGACAATAACTGTGTAAGTCCAGTTTTACGCCTATGGTGTTTTAGTCCAATACTCAGACTTCATATTGAATGTATCGGACCGATTACCTGTACGTTATTCTTTTCATTTTTACAACTATGAATTAGTTCGCTCATGCCGGCTACGGTACTCGGTGCTATGGTGTACGATGACAGATGCAGCGATTGCAGATCTCCGACGGATTGCTTTGAGCGCTGCCCCCTGTGGGCTTCTTATAGCAGCTAAGGGGACTGAGTTTACCCGGATTGTTTTAGACAGCTGGAGAAAGCGGAATGTCCACAGGTTTTGCGATCGGGTCGGTGAAATAACAAGATCTCGGGATCATTACGATTGTTTCCGGATATATACAAAAATCCCTGCGGACCACTATGGAACTTTCGAAAAACCAATAGCAGATATAGTATGCGGGACACCACGCATACTATATCTGCCAATTATACTAAATCATGGGATTTTTTTACACTCATGCATTGTACAACTTAAGAAAAATAAATTATTTTTTAGCTTCGTCACATGCATAAATCCAAATATTTTTTTACGATTACATCAGGAATAATTTATAGGTATTTATAGGCGTTGCGAAGCCCGGTGACGAACATAGACAACTATATTATATTGGTTGGTGACGAATTAGGAAACCCAAATTGGGCTTTCTAAAATTAAGCGTGCTTTTGGCAAATTTGTAATAACTAGCGATATATGAATCGTTGGGACTTGACAACCAGTTGGGTTAAAGGTTTCGATTTGGCGCTAAAGCTCAAAAGCCGCTAAATTTTTTAGCAATAACTTCGATGAAATATAAAGATAAATGTTGAAAATAACCAATTTTTTTACGGTTTTTCTTTCAGATTTTTCTAAAACTTTGTTTAAACCTAGGTACAACTATTGGTAACTTATTTCCAAAATTTGAACTCGAAATATGCAGTAATAAAGATTATTAATTGATTTAAAGGTGAAATATTAAACAGCCCCCTTATTTTCTGCAACCAAAGGTACAACAAATTCCGCACTTAGCATGGGTTAGAACCAAGTGACGCAAATGTTAGTTTAGCCTTTGTAGTAAAGATGGTAGCATTTGATTTTCTTCAAAAATGATATGTATAATGAATTTGCTTGAAGGAAGCGGGTGCCCCTAAGAAGTTTACGTTTGTAATAATGTGTTTTGTACATTATCTAAAATGTATGACTTGACTTTAATGTCAAATATTGATTTATGATACGAAAAATTATCAAAGTAATAACAAAACAAATAATAATAAAAATAAAACAAATATTTTATCAATAAAGGGCAGAATATATGCACGTCTTTGCAGTTTCTTAAACTTCACTGCTGAGACTAAAGCTTTGCATAAATCTTGATGAAACACCTCATAATTTAAAATTCATGCCAGCTGAACATAATATATAACCAACAACATTTTCCAGCAGTTCTCAGCCGAAAAAATTGAAAAAAAGGTTGAAGATAAAATAATGAATAAACGCATAAAAAATTCAATAGTAACAATACGAAAATCGACCGAAAAGCACTTACCTTAGTTTTCTTTTCGCGCAGATCACCTTCAAGACTTTAGAACGTTTGTTTCTTTTAGGTGTTCTACCATAGGTTCTGCCCATGATGAAACCCAAAAAAATTTGATAATCGCTGTTTATTGAATAGCACAAGTTCAAACACACTTATTTCACAACTCGATACAAACAATAAATTGCATTTTCAAGGGTTACCTTATTTAAATACAATCTGAAGGGTAATTAGAATTAGAGGTGTGATGATATTGTATCGATAGAATTGCCTATAATTAAGAGGTTTTTTTTTTAATTACGCTTTATTTGGCCACTGCTGCTAAGGCAATTCGGCCAGCTTCTCGGTAGTGGTGTGCAATAAACTATTTCCATGAAGGATGCCTCCGAAAAGAGGGTCTGGGTGATACCATCCTACTGGTCGGCTATACAGGAAAAAAAATGGACGAAAGAATTAGAAAATGTGAAAACAATATTCAAAGTTCAAATTCTAGCAGCAAAATCCAACTGAGTGTGGTGAAATAAAATGGAATTAATATGCAGAGGCGAAGGAAAATTAGCATAATGAGTGACTCATACAACTGTTGTGATTTTTCCCAATGAAGAGCACAATCAAACAGCACATGACTTAAATCGCTCAGTTCTCCACGTTCACAGTCTCCGGAGAGTTTGACTTTGATTCTATTTAGGTGAGCCGGAGAACAGCAATGGTTGCTTCTCAGACTACACATAGTTGTGATTTCTCTCCTATTCAGGTCGAGCTTATGAAACCAGGGTTTAGTTGGCGGAGTAGAATAATGTGAGGTGAAATTAACTCCTTTCTCTAATCCTATATGTTTTCATCTGTCGCTCCAAG